GACGCTCAACTGACTGAGCCACCCAGGCGCCCCTAGAAGTGGAAAATTTAATGTCCACACAAGAACCTGCACATGAATATTTATAGCAGCTTTATTTATAGTTGCCCAAGGTAGAAGCAACTGATATGTCCTCAAAAGGTAAATGGATAAACAAACTGTGATACATCCATATAATGAAATATTATTCATCAATAAAAAGAAAAGAGCTATTAAGCCACAAAAAGACAGAGGGACCTTTCAAGTGCATCCTGATAAGTAAAAGAAGCCAATCTGAAAAGTATAAATACTTTATGACTCCAACTATATGACATTCTGGAAAAGGTAAAACTACACAGACACTAAAAAGACCAGTGGTTGCCAGGTGTTGGGGGAAGAGGACCAGAGATGAATAGGGGGAAAACAGGACAATTTGGAAGCAGTTGAAACTATTTTGTATCATACTGTCACGATGGAGACATGATGTACAGTTCTCAAAACTCATATAACAGTACAACACAGAGTGAACACAGATTGTAAACTGTGTACTTTAGTTAGTAATAGTGTGTCAATCTTGGTTTATCCATTGTAACAAATATAAGATATTAATAATAGGGAAAACTAGGCAGGGGTGGTATATGGGGACTCTCTGTACTTTGTTAATTTTTCTATACATCTAAAATTTCTGTAAGAAATAAAGTTTATTAGTTAAAACAAAATATTCTAGTAACATAAGCATAGTTCTGTAATAAGGGAAAGTAACTTATCTTGTATTCTCACCCAACCTGCTAAGAAACACTAAAACACTAGAAACATAGGCCACAAGATAAGATCACGGTCACTATATTTTCTAACATTATTCAAAAAGTTTTAGCTAGTGTAGTGGTATATGACGCAGAAATGATAATATAAGGAAAGGAAAGCATTATTACTTAGTGAAATTTTAAAAAAGCCCCAAAAACTTGTAAAACCTAAAAACTTAATTCTGTATTTTTCAATTTCTGAGATAGAGTAATATAATGGCAAGACATAAATATTTTTAAAAATAAGTTTTTCTGTGTACAAGTAATAAAATATAATAGAAAAAAATATCCCACTGTAGATAGAAACGAAACACAATACATAAGGATAAACTTAATGAGAATTGGATGAGGCACATAAGAAGAAAACTTCAAAACTTCATTAAGAGACCCAAAAACAGACTTAAGTAGAAAGTCAAATTATTACCTAACTAAAAGATTGACGATTTTTAAAATTAATGTATTAGGGATGCCTAGGTAGCTCAGTCAGTTAAGCCTCTCTCTCTCAAAATAAATAAATAAACTTTAATTTTAAAAAGCTTAAAAGAAATAATATAGAATAATTAAATGGAAATAGATGTTTTAATCTTAATTGTGATGGAAAAAGTCTTAAAAGATTAACAGATTTAACAGTGATCACACTTAGTGGGAAAAAAGTTATCTTTAACAATATATTTTTTAAACTTATTTATTTATTTTGAGAGAGAGTATGTGCACGAGAAGGAGAGGGGCCAAGAGAGAGGGAGAGGGAGAATCAGAGACCGACATGGGGTTTGAAGCCACAAACTGTGAGATCATGACCTGAGTCAAAATAAGAGTCAGATGCTTAACCAAATGAGCCACGCAGGCACCCTAATAATATATTTTAAAAATAAAATGATAAACTACATACTGGGCAGATGTTAACAATAAAATAGGATGCCTGAAAGTCTGTGTCCACAACACATAAAATACTCATACAAATTTTATAAATGACTCCAAAAATACATAGGCAAAAGACATGATTAAGTAATACATAGATTATTACAGATAGCTGATAAACAAATAACAGAAATGATATTCAGCCTTGCTAATAGTTAAATATATACACATTTTAAGATAAGAGGTTGTCCATCAAATTAAAGAAGAATTTAAAAATGAATATTCTGTGTTGGCATGAATTCAATGAAATAGATTTTACTTTTATGTATTTCTTGTGAAAAGTTAGTTATTGCAACCTTTCCGGAAACGTACTTGACTTTGTGACTAAATAATGGTACATTTCAGACTCTCTTCTAAGGGAGAATATTCAGAATACACACAAAGACATCTGCACAGACGTGTTTCTCTCAGCATCTTTATAACAGTGTAGAAATACATTCTGAGGAGAATTCATAAATTTTTAAATATTATACATAATATTTAATGAGCCATAAATGAAAAACATCATTGACCTCTTAATACCTTTAATGGCTTATGCAACCTTACAACCCTAGCCTTCAAATATTTATCTCAGCTATTTGACAATATCACCTGATGGTACAGGTCCTAACATTCACTGATAAATAGTCTAACATGCATATAATAAATCTAGTAAAGTAATATTTACTGTAAAGGAGATATAGAAACAATATAAATGTCTGTTATTAAGAAAATGACTAGATTACAGTACTATAGAATATGAGATGAATGGATATTATGTATCTGTTGAACAAGTTGTTATGAAGTATTTACAACAACATGATAAAATATTTATATTCAAAATAGAATCTTAAGCATAAAACAGATAATTACATTATTTATAAGTATGCCCCCACAACAGAGCTAGAAGGAAATATGCAAGAATATTTACAGTGTAACCTCTGAATGGTAGATATACTTAATACATACTTAATCTGGTTTTTTTTTTTGGTACTTGCCATAATTTTTAAATGTTAAAATGAACATTACTGACTGTAACAATTAAGAAAACAGTTGAAGACAACCAATGATAGCACATTTTTTCCTTCCCATTACTACACTTTTTTTTTAAAGTGAGGTGTTCACAAAATTGTTAGGGAGCATAATCTCATAGAAAATTTTAACTATCTTAATCAGAAAACAGCTTCTTTGTGCTTTCTAAAAAGGTCAAAAACTGCAAGTAGCTTCTTTGGATGGCTGGAGAAACAGCATTATATTGTAGTTGCTAAATAAGTATTATTCTAAAATAATTCTAGCCAGTGAAATGGCTTCCACACATCTTTAAGTTCAGCAATCTGATGTTTATGCAGTAAACTATTCAATATTTGTTTACTTAAAATTATACTATTCAATATTACAGTGGCCAAGATTCCCACCAAGGCCCCAAAATGCATTTATTGCACCTTAGTGATTATCTATATGGGTAAACACTGTTATATCTGTTCATGTGAAACAGAGATATTGTTGAACTGGACTCAATATCATATAAACTACAACATATTTTTATTTCATTGGAGGTCATATATTTGCTTCTTTAAAAATGCTATTTTTTGTCACATATTTGTCAGGAATGTCATATCCACTAAATAAGGTAACTTTTGAAAACCCTTAGCATGATATTTCATACTTATTAGGTGCTTGATAAATGTTTATTGAAGGGATGAGTGAATTAGGGAATGAAAGGTACTGTCCTTTCTTTCTTTTTCTTTTGAATGCAAACATAGCCTAATACTATTCACATACACATAACATACACACACACACACACACACACATGCACACAAATGAATCAACTATAAACTTATAATTTTTTTATACAAAAGTAAAGTAATACATTGTTAAAGGAATTATGTATTCTATTACATATGATATATTATAAATTACATATTTAGATGCATATGTTAATTGAAATACAGAGTAACTTTGATTCTCAGATCTTAAATTTTATCTTAATATAGGGACCACGAGGATTGCCAGGTGATGCTGGACCCCCTGGAGAAACGGGTGCTGAGGTAATTTTTTTGTGCCTCTTTCTTGTTATTTCACTAGTACTCAGTACTTTTTATAAGACTCCTCAAGGTAAAGTTGATACATTAAGTATATATTTAAAGAATAATTCTGTAGTGTTGTGTTTCATATTCAGAAAACAAAGCCTAAAATTCCATTAAAAGTAGGGATGACTGTTGTGTGAACCTAATTTTATACACATAAAGTTCTCTCTTTTTTAGTTTTTATTTAAATTCCAGTTAACATACAGTGTAATATTAGTTTCAAGTGAACAATATAGTGATTCAACACAGATAACACCTTGTGCAAATCCTAACAGGTGCACTTCTTAATCCACATCACCTGTTTAACCCATATCCCCACCCACCTCCCCTCTGGTTTGAACATCAGTTTGTTCTCTATAGTTAAGAGTCTGTTTCTTGGTTTTCCTCTCTCCTTTTTCCCCTGTGAACATTTGCTTTGTTTCTTAAATTCCACATATGAGTCAAATCATATGGTATTTGTCTTTCTCTGACTTATTTTGTTTAGCATAATACTCTCGAGCTCCATCCATGTCATTTCAAATGGCAAGATTTCATTCTTTTTTGATGGATGAGTAATATTCCATGGTATGTACACACACACACACACACACACACACACACACACACACACCACATCTTCCTTATCCATTCATCAGTAGATGGACATTTGGTCTCTTTCTAAAATTTGGCTATTATTGATAATGCTGCTATAAGCATCAGGGTACATATATCCCTTTGAATTAGTGTTTTTTGTATTCTTAGGGTAAATACTTAGTAGTGCAATTGCTGGATGATAGGGTACTTCTATTTTTAATTTTTTGAGGAAACCCCACCACAGTGACTGCAACAGTTTGTGTTCCCAACAACAGTGTAAGAGGGCTCCCCTTTCTCTGCATCCTTGCCAACACCTGTTATTTCTTGTTTTATTAATTTTAGCCATTCTGACTGGTGTGAGGTGACATCTCATTGTAGTTTTGATTTGTATTTCCCCAATGATGAGTGATGTTGAGCATCATTTCATGTGTCTGTTGGCCAACTATTCATGTCTTCCGCCCATTTTTAATTGGATTATTGGTTTTTGGTATTGAGTTGTATAAGTTCTTTATAAATTTTGGATATTAACCCCTTATCAAATATACCATTTGTAAATATCTTCTCCAATTCATTAGGTTGCCTTTTTGTTTTGTTTTATCTTATGGGCTGTGTTAAATCATTGTAAGGTATAAGCAGGGCAGTGATAAAGTCAGATTTATATCTTTGGAAGATAATTCCAGCAGCTGCTTAGAGGATATATTTGAGAAGACAAGAGTGAAGCCATGTATACCTACTAAAGGGCCTTTGCATTCAACCAGGCAAGAAATGATGAACTTCTGAACTAAAGTAGTAAGTATAGAAAAGGAAAGAAGTGGATGGATTTGAGAAATTCTGCAGAACCTTCATATTTGTAGAATATGGGAAGTAAAGGGAAAAGAGAAGTGAAAAATTATTCCCAGATTTCTAGGCTGTGCAACAGGATGGATGGCAATACCTTTCCTGAGATCAGAGAAGATTATCAGGGAGATGGGGATCATCATCTACTAATCTGCCCAAGGTTAAGAATTAGTAGAGCCTGGCTTTGAATACACATCTGACTCAAAAACTAATGCCGATAACCTATACTATGCCACATCCTCTGAGCCTAAAGAAAGCTGAGAAAAGTCATACCTAATAACTTGAAGTTTTTTTAACAGAGTAGGAGACATAATTTCTGTTGTGATAAGAAGTAGGGGTTGAGTAGGTCAGTTGAGGGAAATTTGCTGGTTTAGAATAATGGTTGAGGATAATGGGAGAGGGAAATGACTATAGGCAAGTGAAAGGGCAGATATACCTTACTAAAAGTCAAGCTTTTAGAAGGAAACTATGAATTTGCATTATATTAATGATAATTATAATAGCCCACAATTATGGAGCATTTTCTATGTGCCTAGCAGTACTTGTGTGCTTTGCTGTATTAATGGATTCTCATAACACCCTATGAGATAGATACTATGACATAAAAGATAGTTTAAGCTCTAATAGTTCTATGGAAGAGTATCACCCATGGATCAGAACTACTGAGGAATCACTGAAAGGTAGAAAGGAAACAGAAAGCTTTTGGTCAAGATAGTGTTGTGAGTGAATGCTTTAAACTACCTCTCTATTCCAAAAACATGGGAATTACAAAATACATATGCATGTGTTTGTAATTATACATACACACATATACATACATACACGTGAAAGAGAGAGAAGAAGGTAGAACAAGGAAGGGGAGTGGGGAGGGTATCTTTAATATGCTCAAAACAAGATATACATCCCCGAAGCATCTCTGAAACAAAAAACAATGCAATAGCAATTGTAGGAGCTCCAGGTCTAGAGATAGCCAGAGGTTGTAAGAAGTTTACGTTTTCAAGGTAAAAGGAGCCAAGTACTTCCCAACTGGACCCACCCATGAAAGGAAAGTGGAAAAGATATCATAAACATCTTTCATAATGTGAATTAACTCATATCACCTTTGTGTGATTTTTTTTTATTCTTTATTTTTGAGAGAGAGATAGCTAGACAGAGTGCGACTGGGGGAGGAACAGAGAGAGGGGGAGACACAGAATCCAAAGCAGGCTCCAGGCTCTCAACTGTCCACACAGAGCCCAACATGGGGTTTGAACTCATGAACCACAAGATCATGACCTGAGCCGAAGTCAGACACTTAACCGATTGAGCCACCCAGGCGCCCCTGTGTGATATTTTTTATAAAATGAATAAAGAAAACTGAAATTTTTAAAGGGAGTGTGCTCCAAAGGGCTCAACGGAAATGGATGGAAGAGTAAAAAGTGAAAAAACAGAGAATATTATGTAAGAATATGAGGGTAGAAAATCAGAAGAGGAAATGGGAAGTGATTTCTCTTTGACCAAGGATTAAAATATGAGGGCCAAGGATTAAAATATGAGACGAAGAATTTGAAGAAACTGGTCTTAAAAGTTCTAACTTAGGTGATGTTGTCTTACCACTTGAACTATTAAAAGGTCCCAGAATTATCTGGTCTTATGCGATGATGTTTATAAAGTAACAGCAAAATACTTTCCTGAACATAGGTATCTCACTCTGGGCTAAAAACTACTACCATCTTCTTATAAGGTTGTTATTGACATTGCAACTGGTGAAGGAATATATCCAGACAATGTGTCAAATCTTCTCTTCTAGGGCCCTTCAGGTATTGAGGGAGAAGCAGGTCTGCAAGGTGAACCAGGTGCAAAGGTAACCTTTCTAAATAGTAAAAGGAATGGTCTCTAAACTTTCAATACTGAATCCCCTATGTTTGCCACATTTTGGCAAATACCCATAATTCTGAAAGCAAGTGAAGGATAGCAGATAAAAATGGGAAGTGTTCTCAAGTAAGTCAGAAAATATATTTGTCAGAAAAAATTATCTATCTATCTATCTATCTACCTATACTGTGTGTGTGTGTGTGTGTGTGTGTGTGTGTGTGTGAGTGTGTGTGTAAGAGAGAGAGAAGAAATAGAAATGATAAAGCTAGTGGGGCAAAATATTATCAAAAAATTAATCCAGGAAAAAGAAAAAACTGGGAAGTGTTTTAAAACTCCTATCCTCATGATATGCCTTCCATAAGTATTAGACATGTTGTTTTAGTAGAAAAAAAGTTTAATCTTTCCCTTTGTTTCTTCAGGGAAATGCTGGACCTACAGGCAATGTTGGAGTTGCTGGAGAACCAGGGTTACGGGTAAATGTCTGCTGGGAACCATTTTAATGCACTGGCCTATGTAGTTCACAGACTCAAAACTTAGCATAAATAAATCTTTAAAATGCATAATGAACCTTTCTGGTGCATAAAAGAAAACATTTGTCCTTATTTCATATTTCTATAGTTGCATGCAAAACCCTGTCCACATTGTATTAGTAGTGTTTGGAGTCCTAAACTCATACATCCTTTTCTCGGTATTGGGTATACTCTGCAGAATGCTTTACACATATTCAGAGTCACTGTGATTGTCACTACTGTTACCTTAAGAAGAAATTCACAGGGGCACCTGGGTGGCTCAGTCGGTTGAGCATCCAGCTCTTGATCTCAGCTTAGATCATAATCTCATGGTTTGTGGGATCAATCCCCTCATTGGGCTCTGTGCTGAGCATGGAGCCTGTTTGGGATTCTCTCTCTCCCTCTCTCTCTGCCTGTGTCTCAAAATAAGTAAATAAACATTTAAAATATAAACTTAAAAAAAAGAAGAAATTCACAAATAATAGTAATCAACTCTCAGGATATTCCCTGACGTAACAGGGCAAAAAATGATCACAATCTAATTTATGTTTAAAAAAATTCTAGAGTCACACAAAGTTATCAAGATTTGAGGAAAAAATTGTAAAGAAGTATAATTGGATAGCTTAGAGAAGTTATTCTACTATAGACAGCCTTTAAGCTGTGGTAAATTTTTCCCAAGATAATTTTAAGAGACATTTGCATACTAAAAGGCAAAGTAGGGAGATATATCTTACACCCAGTGTCTTTTTCATTTTCACTTTATTTGCAGAGGGTTGGGTAATGGAAGTGTCAGTGGTGGGAGCAATGGGGCAACTGTAAAGATGCACTAATTAACTTACTTTTAAATATTTCAGGTAACAAAAGAGCCAGTACTACTTTAATAGCTTCATAGAGTATGGCTATACTTTTCTGTGAAGTTCTCTATCTAAGAAGACAGCTTCTTGATGTACCAGGGCCTTTATTGTTGCATCTCCCCTGTAAAAGAGAAAATACAGACCATAAAAATCTGGTACACTGATTTTAACTAAATTAAGTCATATTAATCCATTTAATTCGGTACAGGAAGGTACTACAACTTTAAGAGATGTAGTATTTACAGTCTTTGAATTCAGAAACACAGGTCTAGCTATATAAATTTGCAGAGATACAAATGAATACATATTTCTCTTAAATATCTAAAAAATAACATTCCAGGGGCGCCTGGGTGGTGCAGTCGGTTAAGCGTCCGACTTCAGCCAGGTCACGATCTCGCGGTCTGTGAGTTCGAGCCCCGCGTCAGGCTCTGGGCTGATGGCTCAGAGACTGGAGCCTGTTTCCGATTCTGTGTCTCCCTCTCTCTCTGCCCCTCCCCCGTTCATGCTCTGTCTCTCTCTGTCCCAAAAATAAATAAACATTGAAAAAAAAAATAACATTCTGGAACCATCTTTTTTTGAATTTATAATACTGACTCTTTAAATCATCTTCAGAGCTATTCCAAGCAAATTATATCAAGCTTATTATACTGACAAATAACCCTTATAAATAAAGAAGTAGGAATAAATGTACAAAAACCTGCTACTTTCTATAGATATCAGGAGAAAAAAGAAGTTAAGGTGAATGATTTAACAAAACAATAAATCTTACTGTTTTTGCTACACAATAGGGTGAACCAGGAGCACCTGGAGAAGAAGGTCTCCAAGGAAAAGATGGATTAAAGGTAAATTATACTTTCTCACTATGTATAAGTAGATTTTTTATGAAATCTTTAAAATATTACATAATTACATAATTACTTTTATGTTCTAAACAAAAATCTGCTTATTGTGTGATGTAATTATTGTGTTGCTCTCCCTTTCTTAAAAATTTCTACTGGGTTACAGGGAAACCCAGGAGGAAGGGGTCTTCCTGGAGAAGATGGAGAAAAAGGAGAGACGGGCTTACCAGGGGCTTCAGGACCCTTGGGTGGACCAGGTCTGATGGGTCCTCCGGTGAGTAGTGCTGGGTTCATTTTTGAGTACTCAGTAAATTCAGTCCCCTACATCTACACACACACACACACACACACACATACCGACACACACACACAGACACAAACACAGACACATTCTGATTGCCTTATACGTCCATTGAGTAATTGAAAGTGTGGAACTGTGACTTGAAAGAGGGCCAAACCAGGGACTGATTATCAGCCTACTTAATATCCAAGGAAGAAAGACACTTTTTCCATGTGACACACAAGTCCTTGAAGTTTTTTTCTCCCACTTTGAGATATAATTGACAAGTAACATTGTGTACAATGTTATGTATGTGTACAATGTATGTATGTATGTGTATGTATGTGTACAATGTGATGATTTGATACACATATATACATATACATATATATGCATATATATAAATGATTACCAAATAGAATTAGTTAATACATCCACCATTTCACATTTGCTCTCTTAACAACTTTCAAATATATAATACTGTGAAGTAGTCACCACATTGTATATTAGATCTCTATGGGTTATTTATTTTATAAGTGGAAGCTTGTACCCATTGACTATTTCCCCATCTGTCCACTACTGGCAACAATCATCAATGTACTCTGTTTCAATGATTTCAGTTTTTTGTAGATAATATACATATATTATACATACACATATAAGATCATATAGTATTTTTTTCCTCTGCACATAACAATGCCTTCCAGGTCCATTCACGTTGTTGCACATGTCAGAATCTCCTTCTTTTTGTGGTTGAACAATATTCCATTGTGTATATAAACCACAATACTATATATATATATACACACACCCCATATTTATATATATGTGTATACATATATATGTATATACATATATATGGTCAAATTACATTTGAAAAAAATGGTGTATATATATATATATATATATATATATATATATATATATATATATATATATATACACACACACACACACACACACACACACACACACATATATATAGTGTATATGCATGCACATATATGCACCGTATATGCATGCATTTATTTCTGGGTTCTCTATTCTTTTTCATTAATGTATATGTCTGTTTTAATGGCAGTATCATACTGTTTTGATTAGTATATATAGTTTGAAATTAATAGGTGTGATACCTCCAGCTTTATTTTTCTTTCTCAATGTTGTTTTGGTTATTTGGGGTATTTTGTGGTTCCAGGCAAATTTTAGGATTTTTTCTGTTCCTGTAAAACATGCAGCTGTTATCTTGAAAGGAATTACATTGCATCTGTAGATGGTTTTGGGTAATATGGATATTTTAACAATATTAATTATTCCTACCTATGAGCATGATATATCTCTCCATTTATGTGTCTTCAGTTTCTTTCATGAATGTCTTATAGTTTTCACTGCATAGATATTTCACTTCCTTGGTTATATTTATTCCTAAGTATTTTATTATTTTTGATGCTATTATAAATAGGAATGTTTTTTATTTCTTTTTTAGATATATATTGTCAGTGTATAGAAACATGACTGGGTTTTATAGGTGATTTTGTATATTGTTGTTTTTCTGAAGTCATTTATTAATTTTAACATTTCTTTTGTGGAGTCTTTAGGGTTTTCTCTATATGAAGATAATGTATATCTTCAGGGACAGTTTTATTCCTCTCAAATTTGAGTGCCTTTTATTTCTTTTTCTTGCCTAATTTCTCTGGGTAGGATTTCTAGTACTATGTTGAATAGAAATGGTGAGAGTGGGCACCTTGGTCTCTTGTTGTTGATCTTAGAGGAAAAGTTTTCAATCTTTCACTGTTGAACATGATATTAGTAGTGGGTTTGTCATATATAACCTTTATTATGTTGAAGTTTGTTCCCCCCATTCCTGCTTTGTTGAAAGTTTTCATCATGAAAGGTTATTGAATTTTGCCAAGTACTCTTTCTGCATCTATTGAGATAATCATATGGGTTTCTTTAATTCTCTGAGTAGGGTTTATCACATTGATTGATTTGTAGACAAACAATCCTTGCATTCCTGGAATAAATCCCACTGGATCATGGTGTATGATCCTTTTAATGTGCTGAATTTAATTTGCTACTATTCTGTTGAGAATTTTTACATCTATATTCATTAGGGATATTGGGCTGTGCTTTTATTTTCTTATAATATCCTTATCTGGCTTTAGTATCAAAGTAATGTAGACATGAGCTTGGGTGTATTTTTCCTCTTCAAAATTTTGAAAGAATTTGAGAAATATTATCATTAATTTGTCTTTAAATGTTTGGTGGAATTCATCAGCAAAATCTATTTTTCTTTGTTGAGAGGTTTTTCATTACTGATTCAGTCTCTTTATTCATTATTGGTCTATTCAAATTTTCTATTTCTTCATGATTCGGTCTTGGTAAGTACTATGTTTCTAGGAATTTATCCATTTCTTCTAAGTTGTCCAATTTGTTGACAAATAATTGTATCTGAGTAGGCTCTTATGAACCTTAGTCTTTCTGTAGTATAATGTCTCACTTATAATGTCTTCTCTTTCATTTCTAACTGTGCTTGAGGCCTTTCTGTGTTAGTGAGTCTAGCTAAAAGTTTGTCAATTTTGTTTATCATTTTAAGAAACCAACTACAGTAAAACCTTGGTTTGCAAGCATAGTTTGTTCTGGAAACATGCTTGTAATGCAAAACACTTGTATATTAAAGCAAATTTCCCCATAAGAAATAATGGAAACTCAGATGATTTGTTTCACAATCCAAAATTATTCATATAAAAATGATTATAATACTATAATATAATACAAAATATTAAAGAAAATACAAAATATTAAGAAAAATAAGCAAATTAGCCTGCACTGACCTTTGAAAACCTTCGTGGCTGGTGTGAGGGAGACAAGAGAGAGGAGGGTTATTGTGTAGGATGACTTTCACTATCACTAACAGAATCACTACTGTCTATTGGTTCAATTGAATCTTTTTCTTTCCATGAAACTTTAACAGGAAACTATCCAATGACCTAGAATGAAGCAAAGCATTCTTAAGCTTACTCTTGTGTGGAAAAGCAAAGGACTGTCAATAGGTCCTTTGAAGTGACAAAAAATATACTAGTACCATTTGTGCGTACCTTCCAATGTTTTGAAAAATCACTGATTTCTGCCAAACACCACACGGCCTGTGACTGAGCATCCAAGCATGGAAGATGATCACCCACAATCCCTTAGTGATAGAAAGAAAGAACTATTGGCTCAGTTGTTATCATGTGATGTTCAGTGTCATGATAACTCATATTTCAAGGCATCGCTCATTTATCAAGTTAAAACTTATTAGACATGTGGGCTCATTTTGCAGAACACTCGCAGAACAAGTTACAATATATGAAGCAATCCAAGATTTTACAGTATTACTTTTGTTAATCTTTTCTATAACTTTTGTGTTTTCTATTTCACTTACTTTTTGCTCTAATCTTCATCATTTCTTCTGCTAACTTTGGCTTTAGTTTGCTCTTTTTTTCCTACTTCTTTGAGGTGTAAAGTTCAGTTACTTATTTGAGATCTTTCTCCTTTTTTTAATGTAGGCTCTTATCACTGCAAACTCCCCACTTAGAACTGCTTTTGCTGCATTCCATAAATTTTGCTATGTTGTGTGTCTATTTTTGTTTGTCTAACGATTTTTTTATTTCCCTTTTGCTTTCTTCTTTCATCCATTGTTTGTTGAGGAATATGCTTTTTAATTTCTATGTATTTGTGAATTTTCCAGCTCTCTTCCTATTGTTGATTTCTAGTTTGATACCATTGTGGTTAAAAAGATGCTTGATATAATTTCTATCTTCCTAAGTTTGTTGAGACTTACATTGTGACCTTACATATGATCTGTCCTTGAAAATATTTCATGTAGGCTTAAAAAGAATGTATATTCTGCTGCTGTTCGATGGAATATTCTATATATGTCTGTTAGGTATATTTGGTTTATAGTGTTATTCAAATCCATTGTTGTCTTATTGATTCTCTGCCTGGATGATATAACCATTTTAGAGAGTAGGCTATTAAAGTCTCCCAACTATTATTATGTTGCTTTGTATTTCTTCTTTTATTTCTGTTAGTATTTGCTTTATCTATTTAAAAGCTCCAATGTTTGGTGCACAAATATTTATAATTATATATTATTGATTATCATTATTTAATGACCTTCTTTTTCTCTTATGATTATTTAGCTTACAGTCTACTTTGTCTAATGTTAGTGTAAGTATCCCTGCTTTCTCTTGGTTACCCTTGTTTCTTTTGCTTGAAGTATCTTTTTCCATTTCTTCACTCTGTCTTTGTGTGTCCTTAAAGTTTAAGTGTCACTTGCAGGCAGTATATAGGTCACTCTTGTCTTTTTATCCATGCAGCTATTCTGTATTTTTTGATTAGTGGATTTAATACATTTACAATTAAAGTAATTTTTGATAAGGTCTTCCTATTGACATTTAATTAATTGCGGACTGTTTTATAGATCATTTCTTCCTTGTTTTCTCCCTTATTGTCTTACTTTGTGATTTTATGACTTTTTTGTAGCAGTGTGACTTAATCTTTTATTAAAATTTGTGTATCGACCACACTCTTCCTTTGTGGCTTACATAAAATATAGCATCCTATTTTAAGCAGGTAACAACTGCAATAGCATACAGAAACTTTATACTTTTACTTCTTCTCTCCTCTTCACATTTCAGGTCATTAATGTTACAGTTGACATCTTTTTATATTATGTATACAGTAACAAATTATTTTAGTTATTTTAGTTTAATATGTTTGTTTTTGAACTTTTTAACTAGAGTTATAAGTGATTTATGCACCATCATTACAATATTAGAGAATCTGGCTTTGAATATGTATATATATTTATATCTGTTGGTGAATTTTACACATTCATGTTTTTATGACATTAATTATATTTTTTTATTTGAGTTTGAAAAGTGCCCTTTAGTATTTCTTGTAAGACAGTCTTAGTGGTGATGAACTCATAAGCTTTTGTTTTGGGGGGACAG